CCTGGATTTATGAGCAGGATGAGGCGTGAGTCTCCTTAACTCCCCCAGTCCAGACTGGCCGCTGAGACCAGAGCAAGTTGCTGATGTACCTTGACAGCAGCGTCATTCTGCTCCATGACACCCAAGCCCCGCTTCTCCTCTGCCATCGAAAGGCTTTTTGGACCTTCCTTTCATGGGCTGGTTTTGAGCATAGAGAGGGAGAACAGGTTTTCCAGCTGCCGGATTGAAGTTTGCCAGATTTCATTTTTTACAAACCCTAGGAGACGTAATGATATATAAGCACAAAACGGCCACAAAGTAAAACTCTTCTTTCACTACAGTCCCATACCTACCGCACAGCACAAGCCCTGAACTTTGGCTGCTGAAAGCAAAAGCTATGGCCAGGATCCATGAATACAGGGAATGATATAGCCCAAGGGATGCTTCAAATGGACTACAGAGGAGTGACACCAATGATGCTGCTATATTTAATCCTCTAAAAGCAAAAACCATGACCAAGTCTCCCTTGGGCATTTTTTTTTAGGGGAGAGGTATAGAAACTCAATGCACCAGAACAGATTTTTTGCACTCGCTCAACCAGTTCTTAAAATATTACTCAAATACAGTGATTACGGAGCCAAACTCGCCTGGGTATCTCCCACCCGCCTGTGCAGGGACCCACAACGTGCAGTGCCAGGAGCAGCCATGCTTTGTGCAGGCTTCGGTGCTCCTCCGGGTCAGTCTAACGCAGTTTTCTCCTTCCGTGCATTTCAACAGAAACTTCTAACATATCAAATCTTATTTATCTTCCATAGCATATGTTAGATGCGTAAGATGTGATATCTTAGATATCTAACATATCAAACGTCATAGGCTTCATAACTCATGGATCAACCACCTGCAGCCAGGAGAAATTCCAGGTGTAAATTAATTGCATGATGACACTTTTTAATTTTCAATAGCCACTTCACCTGTTGATGACTAAAGGCTCACGCATCCACAGCCTGTGCTATCAGAGCTCGCACCAGCTTGGCAGGGCTTCAGGAATAAGCTCTTGCCTGGGAATTTTTGTCTCTCTAAAGGCAGCCAACTTGTAAAAGTTTGGAAAAACAAAACAGCCCGAGGATCTGCTCTCTGATTCACTGTACCAGAGCCACGTTCTGCATTGCTGCTCTAAGCAAATAGCTGGGTCACGGGCAGCTAGGCTGCAACTGTGGACACATAGTGTGACCTTGGAAAAGTACTTTTTCGTAATTATAACACGGCCACTATTCATACGGATACTTGAGTGCAGAACCAGAGCTCCAGGGTTCAGGTCTGCCGCTGCCCCGACCGCTTTCGAGGAACTTATGGAAGGTCTCATCTCTAAAGAGAACGTTGGCACTTGTGCCGTGCCGGGGTCAGCGGGGAATGGGCTTGGGCAGGGAGGACTCCTCGGCGCGGGGAGCAACCCATCAGGCTTAATGACTCAGCAGGCTCACAGGCGCAGATGAGTAGCATGGTGGAAAATTCCCTTCTCTTCGCTCGATTAGTTTATATTTAGCTCTCCAGGGAGCAGACATGCTGGAAGAGCTGTTGTTTTGGTGATATTTTTGCACGGCCCCATGGGGACCCCTGCAACGTGAACTGCAGCGTGCTGGGGGAGGCTGCCAAGAAATGGCTATCACCGCCTCGCTCCACCACCACATCAGACCAGGCACGTGAGATTGCCGATAGCCACAGCCCTCTGCTACCCGTCAGACCTCCTTTTTTTTTTGTTCTGTTTCCCTGAGTCAGCAGGCTTGCTTCCTCTTCCTCCTCCTCCCCGTTTTGGGAGAGAAAGGAGAAAAAAAAAAAAGTGAGCCACAAAGACAGTTTGCTTGAGGAGCTACAGAGGAGCAACATCCACGGCTCCTCTGCTGGCCTGGTCCCCCTCCCACGAGAATAAAATGTGGGCTTGTCTTTCTGGAGGTATTTTCAACTATTTCAACCCCAGTTTTGGTTCGAGCAGACCTGATGCAAAGGCTCTGCTTCCCCTCTCCGTCCCCTGGGACATGGGAAGGAGACCCAACCTTGTGCACAACTTGTGCTACCTATATCTTTGCTGAAAGTGAAGCAAGTCTTTGATACTAAAAAGAAAAATAATTACATATAATTAACTGAAGCAGATTTGGGGATTTATATTGGTATATGTTTACCTATTTGCATATGCGCATACTGATGCACGTATATTTATTTATGCTGGTATCCATACCTGAAAATTAGCCTACATCAGTGCTGGCTCTGTCCCAGAGTCTGCTTGATTTACTTATGTAAAAATTTGGATCTCACTCACAGAAATTAATTATCTACTGAATTGATTTGCCCTGATTTCACATGCAAAGTTTTGCATTCGACAGCCTGAGCTTTTACTGATCTTCCTCCCAAAGGCCATCTGCTTTCTATAACTGAAGCAGTTCTTAGAGACCTTGGCCCTACGCAGAGCTGGAAGTCGCAGAAGTTTCCCTCCCTCCTCTGGGTTTAACCTGGAAGTAAGAAAGTCTGGATCCAGGGATTCAGATGCAAAACCACCGGCACGCGTGGCTGTGCTCCACGGGGCCGTACTCAGCAGGGCGTCCTTCTCTCCTTTGAAGTGGAGAGAAGGAAACAATTCCATGGCAGGTTGTTTTGGTTAGGTTTTTCTGGTTGGGTTTTTCCCCCCCGCTTTTGAAAGCAAGGAGGCTGTGTCTTTCTCTAAGAGAAGTGCCTCCAGCATGGGGCGAAGAGTCCTAATCCTGCCACCCCTGAGCCGGGTCTAACACACCTACCACCACAAGCATCCTCAGGCTCCGGAGGATTTTTAAAAATGAAGAAATAAATCAGAAGCTCTCTTCAAACCTACAGTGAGCCACAACAGGTAAGGACAGAGCAAACCACTCTGAAATTCAGGTTTTTTTACTATCGCTCTAATTAATCTGTTTCATGACCCACCCCAAATATTTTCTCTAGAAACATTATCTACGTTGTTTTGGGGTTTCTTTATTTCTTTTTCCAGTCCTCAGCCAAGCCCTAGTAAATATTTCTGCCCGCGTCAGGGGCGGGCTGAGGGAATCTGTGCCTTACATGAGCAGGCGCCTTGCAATCGGAGGGAACACAGCAGCAGCCTCCTGCGCTCGGAGATACCTGATATTGGTGAGAGACGGGCAGAGATGCTCATAGCCCTCTATGTTTTGACAGTATTATTGCAAGACACTGCTACCTCTGCAATTTGCAAGTAGTTTTTAATCTTGTCAAAATAGACTTTTATTATTGTTTGAGGATTCAAAAGGAAAATATGCACATCTGGTTTCAATTGCAAACTGAAGTTTGGTCTATCAGCCTATTTCATAACAAATTATGCTTACTTTTTACTCCAGAGGATTTCCTAAGGAGGGGGTGCGCTGCCAAGGTACACCAGCATCTGCGGAGACTGCACGGCACAGAGAGAGATGGTGGCACTACCCAGTGACAGGCACTGTGCTATTGCAACTCACTTTCTCCATCAAGTAAATTAAATCTTAAAATTATTGAGGAGAAAACCCTTATTAATGAAAACTTTGCGTACATCTATACGTGAAATCTTCACGTACCACACGATTTGGACAACCTGACATCACCGAATGGAGGAATAAGACTCACAGACTTTCTAGGACAACTCTGCTGCCAGGGCACTGTCCACAGCAAGGAGCCGCCATCCCTCGCTGCAGCAGCGTTCGAGGCTGGAGACCCCCCCCCGGGGGGCACAGGGCGGCTGGCAAAGCCCCACAGCATAGGCCCGCAGCCCTCCCTCGCTGCCACGAACTGCCTCGTGAGCTCGCACGTGCCAAGCGTGAAAACCGTGGCAGGGCACTGCGGGAAGCGCGTGCAACGGCCCCGGACAGGCTGGAGAGCATCTCTGCAGTGATGCTCAACCACATCCACTGCTCCCCTGTGCTGCAGCCCCCCGTCAGACCCCGAACCTGGGGAGTTTTGTACCGAGTTCACCGACATCCAAGTCTCAGCCCCGTTAAATACCACCCTCGGCCCGGAGAAAGGAAAGCACGTGTTGATCCGTTTGTAGGAAGAAATTACAGAGGCAAAGGCAGAGTAATCTGAGGAGGAACGCTCGCTCCCCACACACGAAACTTTGGAGAGGCGACCTTCCCCCCGGCACGCCGGCCAGGCGGCCAGAGCTCGTCCTGAAACGGTTTTCTCCTGCGGCAAGCGCTCAGCATCAGCGCTCAGCATCACCGCACGCAACCCACGCCGCTCCCCGGGCACATGCCAGGAGACATCCCCGCTGCACCTCGCTCCCTCTGGACGCTCGAGGCGGCTCCTCCGCGGCCGAACCGCGCCGGACCGGGGAGCCCTGAGCCCCGGCACCGCTCACCCCACGGCGACCTGCGCGTCCCCGGGGTCGAGAGCCGGGGGAGCGCGGACCCAGCGGCACAAAGGCGGGCAGCCCCCAGCCCACTCCGCCCGGGCGGAGGCGGGCG